TTTTCTATCCTCCCATTTGATGCACCTGATTCATACTTGCGAAATCTATCTCTGTCTCTTGTAGCCATGGTGTAGAGGAAAATGGTGGAAATCACTTTGAAGCAACGTTAAATCGGTCCACAGTGGCGGGTGATAGTATCGATATTTTCCTCAATTTATCGAGTGTTAACAGTGGCATTCAAAGTGTGTGGATGCCGGGGAAAATAGCAAAACATTGATAGATTTCGGAATAAGCTCGAATCGTGAAAAACACTGTTTACGGCTATAGATATCCAAATGAAATGACTCTCAAATGTAATCACGGACGCTCAGTAAGGTGAACCACTGGGGGGGGGGGGGGGGTGACAGTTGGTGGGGTGAGGGTGAAGGATAACTGTACATTTAAATCTATGGGATGCCAAACCCTAAAAAAAATCAGTTCGGGTACTACGTTACTGGATCTCTGACCGCAGCCATTCAAGAGAAGGGTGCGTGTTTTATAGAGCGTCCGCGTATTACATTACAGATTAAGACCCGCGTTCTCACAAGAGAAGGTCCATTTAGGGGGGGTGACAACAAGGCAAAAAATAGCAAACTATATAGAGAAAAACTTGAGGGGGTGCAAATCGAAAGTTTGAGGGGGGGGGGTTGCAAATCGAAAACTTGAGCGGGGTGCAAATCGAAAACTTTAGCGGGGTGCAAATCGAAAGTTTGAGGAGGGGGGTGCAAATTTTGAAAGTTTGAGGGGGGGTGCAAATCGAAAATTGCAATTTTTTTTCCCGGGAAGGGGCATGCCCCCATCCGCTCTCCCCCCCTCCTCCTCTGCAAGCCATCATCAGGTCACTGACTGTTTACTACAAGCACCCCCGCCTGCTCACTAAAAAAAACGTCTTCAACGGTCCGCAAACAATAGGGGGTATCTGTTTACGTTTCTCCCGATTTTACCTCCCATGTCAGGTCGGGGGCTAATTCGCGACCGCCATCTCCAGTCACCTCAGGACAATAGCGAGTCGACCGTGCCAGCGATGTGTGACACTAATGTCCTTTCTTTAGAATAAACGGTCTGCCCCCAGTCCATGTAGAGGATAACTCACTAACATCAGGCCGTGGCCTCAGTTTTAACATCCAACAATATCGGCCATTTAGTTGGTTTTTTTTTTTTACATTTATTCAGCAAAGATTATTAAGTTTACAAACTAATTCAGGCAACAATGGCGTTGCTGAAGCGCGGGGGCCCCTTCAAGCGCGGGCCTAGGGCGACCGCCCCGTTTGCCACCCCCCTAACGCCGGCTCTGATTACCACCAAGTTAAGAGAGCAACACTAATCTTGTCTTGAAGGGGCTCCCCCATTAGGTACAACCTTGCCAGGATTTTGGTGTAACTTTTTTAAAATGGAGGATGAAAAGGGTGGGTCGGTATAGTGTGTGTGTGGTATGTGCTGTGTGAGGTGTGGTGAGTGCGAGTGTGTCTGTGTGGAATGTGGATTTTAAAAATAATGTATTCAACTTTAGTCCATCCCAGTTAACAAAGTTCTCTTCATGTAACGAAAAAAAAAACATAAATTAATTAATTAATTAATTACAAACATAAATTATAGGACCTACTCGATACATACAGGTAATTCATGTCCCGTTAATCACCTTCTAGAAAGTCTAAATGTTTCAACTTCAAGTCTAGAATGAAGAAAAGTGGTAGATCTATTTTATTTTACCATGATCACGTGCAGTCATTATGATAATGACTTTTAGAATTTTTATAAACTCAAATTTAGAAAACACACACACGGCATATATACAAATATAAACCATAAGTAAGATGTGTACCACATTCCATAGCTCCTATGAGGCGATTCCACTATCGCCCTGTGTATTCTTACACTCCATTCCCGTTTCCTCTAAACTCAGGAAGTTTTGGTTTTAAACTTACCAGAGGGTCATTACTCCCCACCCCCAACTCTCAGGTGATGTAGCGCTACAGTTTGAGGTGTTAGCCATAAGGTAGAGGCTATGTGCGTGTGTGGTTTAAGTGTGTGTGTGAAGCCAAAATAGTGAGAAAGAGAAAAGATCAAAAGAAACTTGGGTGGTGTGTGTATGTGTGTGAGTGAAGATAGCCCACATATAAAAAAAAAGAAGAAAAAAAACAACTTAGGTGATGTGTGTTGGTATGTGCATGCGTGTAGATGTGGTGTGTGTAGGAAGAAAAACCCAAATTGATGAGTGGGGGAATAGACAAAAAAAAAACTTGGGTGGTGAGTGTAAGTGTGTGGGGGGGGGGGGGGTAGGGTGAAATGTTGGGTGAGGTAGAACTAAGTAAACACCGTACGGTGTGAAGCATTCAGCAGGTGAAGGCTAATGTTTTTTATCATCCGGGGGGACGGGGGAACCGGTGTTGGCCAACTTTCTGTTTTCGTTACTGCCTGACCTACTTTTAAGTGCTCACCATTCTTTGTACAGGGGGGGTGTCAGTCAGCGTTAAAAGATGAGCATCATTAAGGTAAGGGGGGGGAGAGTAGAGAGGGGTAGCGGGTTTTGAGAATGTAAAATGGTACATTTAACATGGGCAGATAAGTCGTGTGTTTATATGTTGGGCAGATAACTCGGGGAAGAGTCGGCGTTAAAAAGTTATCAATAGGTAGGAGTTAGGGTTGAGAGAGTTGTATACAGACAAGAAGTGTATACGTAGGGCGTTATACCGTGTGGGAGGGGGGAGTTAAATAGTGAGGGGGAGCTAAACTGTGAGGGGGTATACAGCCGGGGTTAAATATAAACAGGTCCACACTTGACGTGTAGTATGCTATGGCACGCTAAGCAAATGGTCTATCAACATTGATATATACGCATTTAGGACAGTTTCTTTCAGCCATCTCTTGTGGGTAGGGGGGGGTGGGCGAAGACACATCTCTCCCTGCCTCAGGTCCAGTACGTCAGAGTTTTAAAAATAATTAATCTCCCCTCTTAATAAAAACATATAAACCACTAACAGTTGACCTATAGAGCAACATAATAATTTTATTAAACTATAAAGCATCGTTCAATAAAATAGGTGTAACAGGGTTTTGTCCTTGATCTTCTAGAGAATGAAATAGATTGTCTTTGATAACTGAACTGAGGCCACATTTTAACGGTGTGCTGAGCGGCTGGTGAATTATCTTTTAAAAATTGAATAACACCGTGCACCAGGCACACGCTTCGGTAAGGTTTTTTTTTGGCTTGCCACTTTGGCTTTAATGGTTTTCGGGAATGAGTTTTTTTTTTTGTTTTTTTTTACTCCACGCAAGTAAACTTATGACATTTAAAAAATATATCCGTTACTTTTTTTCTTTTATAACTGCGTTTTTTTTTTTAAGTTGAAGTCTTTAGGTCAAAACGGCTTCTTTGTTTAGATAGAAGTGGATTTTGTAGTAGTTTATCTACCAATTGTTGCTACTCAGGGTGAGAATGTCTGGGTAGTGCACTGTACATACGCCTTTAATATCCCATTCCCCCCCCCCCCCCCCCCGGGAGTCGGAAATTTACTTTTAGTAACACAAAAAACCATGCATAAATAAGAGTTACATATAGTCCAGTAAAATCACCGCTAGACAAAGGTTGGGAAGGGAAGGAGAGGGGGAGATGGGTGGGGTACAAATTGCCCAGTAAAAATAATGGCTACAGACATCATCATCATTATCATCAACCATCAACGTCATCAGTTTATTAATTATCATCATCATTACCGCCATTAAAAAAACAAACACCAGCCAATTTAAAAAATTTAATTTGTGGCAAGTGTGTATGAGCAACAAACAGACACGTTAATTTGTTATTTGAGTCGTTTATGTCTGGTATAGTTTTTTATATTTAAAAATTCTATAGTTTTTACGTACACTGGGCAAAAAAAAAAGGGAGAGGGTACCATGATGTTTTTTATATATCTTAGAAAAAGGTAAAAGTGAAACCATGCGCTGATGGGTTTTTAAGGTATAGCCAGAGAGGGAGCAGAACTCCCCCCCCCCCCCCTCGCTTACCCCCCCCCCCCCCCCCCACACACACACACACCGCGCCTCCTTCGTCTGCAGCCCCCTCCCTCCCTACCATTTCACGTAGATCTTGAAATTTTTAGTTAAATACCCAACGACAAAGAATAATCGCCTTACAGTTATGGAATGCTACGGGCAGCTAAAGAATGTTTTTTTTTAGCTTCCATTTAGGAGTATTTCCCTTGACTTTTTGGGTTGTTTTGTTATATATTTTAACCCTTACACCATCCCTCCCTCCAAGTTTAAAATTCTGAAACTATCTTCTATATAGATCAACACAAAAAGTACCATAGCTGAGTTAATACCGTACAACACGTTATTCTTCAACCCACCATGAAGCTAGTGTATTTAGAAGAAGAAAAAATAAGAAAATTCCGCGAAGCGCATCAATCCACAACAAACAAAGCCATGCGCAAAAAGCGTGCCGCGAAACTCGATCCACAAACACAAAACTGTTGAGGTCTACATTTTCGCAACATGTTTACACTTCAGCTATGATTACAGTTTTTTTTTTAGTCGTCTGTTTGTTTATCTATTTCGTGCATAAATCGGGGCACTCGCGAGGCAGGGAAGAAATCTATTTTAGGAGAAGGAAAATAGGAGTAGGGGAGACAAGTTGGGTGTAGAGGGTTTCTAATTGGATCCGACTAAGTAGATAATTGAAATGATAGTTGGTTTTGGTCGGGCGTATGGGTCTTTTTTGTTTTACTCGGCTTGTACGGGGTGGAGAAATAAGCGCGGGGAAAAGGGGGGGGGGGTAATAAGCACTATATATATAATATAGACGGGCGGACGATGTCAAGATTAAGAATACTCCACTAAATGTTGTCTGTCTATTCTTATCTGTGAGTTCAAGATTCTCCGTTTTGTATAATAGGAAAGCAAGCCCAAGTCTTAAACTCCGTCAGTAAAATAACCCTCTACAGACTGGCTTTTTAGGTCCGTCTAAAAAAATAGGTGAAGTAGAACGGGTTGTTGTTGGGGGGGGGGGGGGGGTCAGTACCATGCCAGGGGCCCATTTTAGCTGAGTGGACTCCATAGTTTCTTCAGGCATCTCTTCGGGGGAGGGGGCAGAAAGTCTACCGCATCCCCTCCCCCCTGAACGAAAATGGAATTTATATAAAAAAATTATATACTTTTAAAACAGTGTCCGCACCCCCTGAA